ACTCAGTTAAATATTTCAGGACACATCTGTTTGTACTTCAATTTGACTGATTCAAGCTGGTCAATTTCCTTTAGTCCTTTGGTAAAACTATCCTATGGATCTGGGATAAAAGTGAGTGATGGAGATTTCTTCTACTCTCCTTTTATCTTCACCAGAAAAGTACTCCTTCCAGGAAGACTGCGTGAAGCTAGGCAGAATAGGTAAAGTGCAATGGAATGTGGTCGTATGTTTATCCATTTGAAACAAAACACTGATCCAGTGAACTAAACTAATGTGAATCTCTGGGTTTTTTGGGTTTGTTTTTCATTTATCTCTTTGCATTACTGTCTCACAACAGAATAAAAGCAACTTACTTACAAAATTTGAGTGGAAAAAAATCTTCACAAAAGAAGTATGGCGCATGAAGTCAGCAAGGAGGCATTTATTGTGATTGTATGTCATCTATAGCAGTATTCGTTTCTAGATTAGAAAGAGAAATATTAGATGACATCATAGCCTATGGGTTCAAAAAAAACTTTAAGAATAATATCCAATTAATGGAATGACAAAAAAGATGGAAGTGAAGACAATAGTCTCCTCCTCACTCTGTTCTCTTTTCACTCCCCTTTTTTTTTTAATGGGAAATGTAATCTTTTATTTATATATTTATTTATTTATTTATAATAAATTTTATTTTTATATTCCCCATACAATTGCAACCCCCTTACTTTGACCCCAATCCCTCCCCTCCCGCCCCCTACCCCCCATAGAGTGTCTCTGGTTCATAGTTTTTTGTTGATTTTGATTTTCACTTTCTTATAGTTACTCTTTTTCCTGGTCCCTTATTTAAGTTTTCTAGATTCCTGCTATGAGTGAGCCCTTTTCACTCCCTCTTTTCATCAAAAGGAAGAATACACTTGTCTGATGGAGTCAGGTTCTCTGACACGAGCTTATTATTTGCACCGAGGTATAATCTTCAAATCTCTCTCCGAAGTCATTTAAGAAGACACAGCCAGTGACAGGAGGTGGCTGGTTTGCAGGGGCTGGCAGGCCTCACTAACTCCAACTACACTGTGTCCCACCCCTCTGCATGTAGAAAGTCTGGAGCCACCCCAGCGGATGGGCAAGTTGGCCCCTGCTCATGGGAACGTGTTTCATGGAATCTATTCTTTTCCCCATCAGGTTGACGTGGAAAGCTGATCTTATGCCTGGAAAACATTCTCTCTCATCCTCTTTTTTCTTTCCCTTGCATATTTCTCTCACTTCTTCGCATCCATCATGTTAAGGCACATTCACTGACCTTGGCTTAAAGTTGGCAACATAAATATCGTCTGGTTGCACTATACACTATACGCAGAACATAGAGACACTGAACAAAGGGTCAAGAAAAAGACAAAACTTGCGAGTTGACCAGAGTCCTGAGGCATCCAGCAGGGAAGCGGGAGGGAGAGGGGTCAAAACAGGGCTGGGAAGAGCAGGAGGGACTGTGGTGATGGGTCGCGGGTGCTGTGGTGGTGGAAGAACGGCAGGGACTACACCTGAGGGGAGACATTAAACACTGTCCAAAAATTAACAACAATCTAAGACAATAAATTTTAAAAATGCTAAGAAACCCAATAAAGTTGGCAACATGCAGATATGTGGAACTTGTTAGGGTCTGAGGCTCGGCCAGTGTTACAGCTTTGTTTTTTAGGAGGTGCTTCACTGGGGTGGGGTGGGGAGTGAGGTCCCAGGTGCAGAGAACACCTCTTTTTCCACTTGCTATAACCCATGTGCATTTACCCCCGAGGGCCCCTTCATGGTGAATAGCTCTTATTTTGGCAAGTTTTTGACACCAAATGGCATTAGCCCCCCAGCTCTAACTAGTAACACAAATGACTGACCTAAACTATGATTGATACGGTAAAAAAAATATTGATTAATTTCTTCTGTCTGCAGTGCACACGTCATTCAGAGAGACAGATGTTGCCCTGTTATTTCATCCACAGGGTGAGCATCCCGGAGCAGTCTTCAGTATTAGGGTGAGCACCCCTCCCTGCCACACCAGCCTCCCCTACATGCCCAGGGTACAAAATTGGGTTTCAGCTTCCTTAAGTGCTGTCATTGTCTCTTACTCATCTTTCCTGTTCTCCAAATTTTCCTCTATGATACCACTTTCTTGTTATTTGGGCACGGATCTTTAGAAGGCCGGCTAGAGGTCATCTTCTCTACATTTTGGCTTGTTTCTGACCCTGTTCCCTCCCCTTGAGTGAGCCACCCTGGCTTCTGTTGTCCTCTCCCTCAGGTAGCCACGTCTTCGTGAGGGCTCAATGGCGAGGCAGCCACCACAGGGCAAAAGTTAGCCCTGGTCCATCATCCTCGCCACCCCAAACCATGTGCAGCATCCAGGGTGCAGGAGTGAGGCCACTGGGGAACTGCTTTCAGAAATCAAGAATATTTTATTTACCATTTATTTTTCAGGTTTTTTTTTTTTTTTGGTCTGTTTTTCATATGTCAAACATGCTAGACCCTAGGGGGGTAAAATATGAATGTAAGACCGCCTATTCTCAAAAAAGCTTAAGCACAAGTAGGGGAGGCAGAAACAAAATAAAATACCAAAAATGGAATATGGAGCTGGCCAGGGTCTGGGGCACTGAGTGGAGTCTGAATGTCATGCTTGAAGGACCTCTAAAATCTCATCCCAACAGCCTGTTCCCGTCAGCTGTAGAGTAAGGGAGCAAAAACATACATAATCCCTCGCCCCCATGGTGACAGTTCTCACACAGTTCTGTGAAGCTCAGTTCCTTTGTTCTTAATAACTTTAAGGTCCCCTAATTGGAGGAACCACCACCTCTACGTCTGCTCGGGCAGTGAGTCCCCTCCAACTTTTCATTTTGTACACTTCAGGTTTCTCTCCCCAAACCTCCAGCCCCACTCTCTGTCTCCATTCACCCTCACCCCACTACGCCACAGACCTGCTTTAGCGCCCCCTCTCTCCCCATGACATCATCCCCACTCTTACAGCATCAGCCCAGAGGGGGCTGGGGGGGCATCAGATCCCACTGGCTGCTGGGTGAGGTGAGAGGTGGTTTGGCTAAGACCTGTCCCTCTTAGAGAATCTGGTTTTACTGGAGAAAGAGAAAGTATCATAGAGGAGAGTTTGGAGAACAGGAAAGATGAGTAAGAGACAATGACAGCACTTAAGGAAACTGAAACCCAATTTTTACCCTGGGCATGTAGGGGAGGCTGGTAGAGTAGGGAGGGATGTTCACCCTAATACTGGGGACTGTTCTGGGATGCTCACCCTAATACAGAGGCCGCTCCAGGAGGTGTGAACGCAGGGATGGGGGAGCTGGATTTACCTCCTGGGGAAGAAGTAGACAGGTTCCAAATGGGCCGAGCAGGATCCCAGATGGCGCTTAAAGGAGACACCCCAAAAACAGCTGCTACAGAAGATGGGTGTGTGCGGTTGTGCAGTCCCTGGGATTTCTGAGTCACTATGTGCAAGAATTGTTGGGAACCGAGTCAAAGACAAAAACACTTTGTGTAAAGTCTTGCTACAGCTTTGGCCCCTGAGTGTTACATTAGCCTATATTTCTATATTTAAATTCTTACCCTTATTTTAGTAACAAAATTGAGGAATGGTAGTGAATTGAGTTTCAGTACTACCTTTATTTGTTAAATGAACATCATTATGAAACTTTCATACAATGTTTCTATAAGGATGCTGAAGGTAGTTTGCAGGATTTATTGTTCATGTGGAAAAATTTAGATTTAAATTAAATCTTTACATGTTTGAAGACACTGTAAATTAAATCAAAGGATAGTGAACATACATTCTCTCTCTTTATTTTAAAGTATATACAAATTGGGAGGTAAACATTTTAAGGCTTAATGGCCATATCTGTGGTCTTTTGGAGTAAGACAGGTATGTACTCTTGAAACCGTAGCTGTGGAAAGTGGATTTATGTCATATCACTCTGAGGGGGTCAGAAAGTGCTCTCCTTCCTGCCCATCAGGTACGAGCAACAAAAGTTCCCTATGATAGAGATTTACAAATATTGGCTGATAATATTTGTGCTATAGAATTGGTTTTTAAAGTTAAAATCCCTGATAATGTGGATTTTCACTGCCATTTAAAAACTAAGCAAAAACACACAGCCATCACTTCTATGTGAAAAGTGGAAGAACTTTCAAGGTAACTCCACTTTTTCTGGACATTTCAACAGACACCATGTTCTTATTCTTTGTTTTTATTAATGGTGGCTGAAAACAGGTTGGTATCAGAAAGTTTAGCTTGGTATATTAATTTCCATTACACCTTAATCCCCATAGTTGCTGTCTTATCCCCCTGAAGCCTGGTTGCCTGTGTGGAATATCGGATCATTTGCTTGGGCAAATTAATCTCTCTGTCTTTAAAAAACACATGTTATTTTCTGACTCAGACACTCGCTTTTTTCAGTAGCTGTTTTGATCTCTTCAGTGTTACTTCTGTCTAGGGAGAATGAACAAGTTTTACTAAATTACTTGAAATTTCAGCTGCTTTTTTTTAGAATCAGTTGAATAGTTCTTGAATAGTTCCCCCTTCAGTGCTAGAATCCAATCTTTGCATTGAAGTGTTGTAGAGTGTAATATAAAAAAAACCCTTCCTACACTGTATTTAGCCAGGCTATGATTTCTATGTTACTAAAGCAAAAAGTGTTAGATCCTTATGAACAACAAGAAGGAGACAGTAACAAAAAAGAGAAACATTGTCAAACTTTTAATAAGGACATTTGTTTCCTTTTTTTTTTTGTAAATCCATAATGTCTACAATTTATAATATGGGTAAACATTTTACAGCCAAAAAGTAACATGACATTAAAATATACAGAAACTGGGCATTTTTCCTATCAAAAGTCATAAACTTAAATGTCTACACAAGATATTCTCCACTAATGCCTTACACAGAAGAAAAAGCTGATGCTGACACACACCGGTGAGGTTGCACAAGAATGAAAAAGTCTCTTCTGCATGTTTTTTTTGTGTCTCATCCATTCCACTTAATACCTGCTGGACAAATCACAGAGGCCCCCTAGAGGAAAGCAACAGATGATCTCTTTGAAGGTTTTCCTCAGTTCTTGGCTCCGGAGAGCATAGATTAGAGGATCGATGATGGAATTACACATGATCAGTATGAGATACAAGTTAAAATGAGACATGAAGCATACACAGTATGGATTCTGGGGACAAGAGATGTAGAAGATCAAGTGGAGAAAGAATGGCGCCCAACAGACAACAAAGACCCCAATCAAAATGGTCAAGGTAATAGCTCCCTTCATGTTGGCACCTTGGCGGATGGTGCCCGTGCAGGGGAGCACAGCGATCCTCTTAATGTGAAGTCTGGCCATGAGGAACATGTGGACGTACAGAGACGCCATGAGAGCCAGCATGGTGAAGAACATGGTGATGAGGCAGATGATCACAGCACTGCTGTCTGAGTAAATGATGAACAAGATGCCCGAGACTGAGCAAGCTGCCCAGATACAAGTTATGATGATACCCACCCGCTTCACTGTCATGATGTTATGATACTGGAGAGCATAAAAGATAGTAAAGTACCTGTCCACTGCAATTGAAAGCAGGCTGCAAATGGATGCAAGCAAGGAGCTACAGATCACCGAGTCAATGACATTGTCAATATTCACGGTGAAACTCTGTGCGTCCGTATCTGTACTGTTTAATAGAGTGATGACAATGGTTTCTGATCCGTTGGACACGCTCACCAACATATCCGCCACGGCCAGGCTACAGATGAAAAAGTACATGGGGGAGTGCAGATTCTTGTTCTTGGCTATGGCCACAATCACCAGAATATTCTCCAACAAACTTATGACACCCAGAGTCACAAAGACCTCAGGAGAGACAAAAAGTTGCTCGTAGCAGCCTCCATCAGAGTAGCTTTTCCCCAAGGGCTCACTGGCATTGCTGTGCGGTCTGTAGGCGCTGTGGTTCCAGAAGTGGAGAGAAGTGTGCATCCCAGGCTGGTGGGTGGAGTTCATCCCGGCCAAGTGGAGTCAAATTCGCCCAGAATTGATGGAACCTGCTGGGTCAGGTGTCCACGGTGATTTTCTCCTGGTCTTTATCTAAAGATGAAATTGGCATGCCTGTGGCGAGTGGCTGGCACATGCCCCAGACCTGGCCATGGAGTTTTGAGTCCCTTTCCGGGTCCCCTCTGATTAGCCTCACTTCAGAATGCTCATTCTCAGTTGAAAGAGTCTGCCGTTTGCTTTTTTGTTCTCACTTTCGCTTGAACTTTTAGTCTTAGGCATTCAGGTGTTTCCAAAATAGTTTTCCTAGGCGCTGCGGTGGTGCTGGCTGACGACGCCGTGCGCCCGGGCTCACTCACTCAGCTGCATCTCTGAGGTGTCAGTTTGCAACCTGAAGCCTGGCTTTCACTGTTAGGAGCTGCTGCTGATTTTTGCGGTGTGTGGAGGAAAAAAAAATAGGTTCACCCTGGCTCCTCCTTTACTTCTTTCTGACCAATCCGGGCGCAGCGGGGAGTCTGAGCGACACCGACTGGGTTCCCGAGATACAAATCACAGAGTAACTGTGATTCAGATGCAGAGGCTCGTGGGATCAGGAAACCAGCTGAATTTCTCCTTTCAGGTTTTCATGGAAAACAATTTGGTGCCTGGTGGACATGCTTTGATTTCACGAGCCATCTTGAGGCAGACAGGCTGATTCCTGCTTAAAAGAGAGGTGTGTGTGTGTGTGTGTGTGTGTGTGTGTGTGTTTGTGTCTGCGCGCGCCCACGCTTGTGTGTGTGTGTGTGTAAAATGAAGTGTGTAAAACATACCGTCCTCTTTTCCTGAAATACGCACTTTTTGACCAGGAGACTGAATGCATTTGCCCTTTCAATTTATTTGAATTAAGAACTCAGGCAGTAATGCTTCTGCTTAAAATGAAACACAGGGAGAATATTTGATAATGCGTGCTATGCTGTGGATGGAGGATCTATGTAAGTAACTGCAGTGCATTAAAAGGTTCAAGATAGAATTTATTTCGTGGGCACAAATGCCTACATTCCCTTCACATCCTTGTCCACCAACTACATGGAACTGTGACACCAACGAGCAATAAATGTTACCATTCTGAGCTGCTGAGATATTGGTGTTTATCTCTCTTAGCATCTGGCAATAATGATCTCAATTTTCCAACTTTTAATTTTTTAAAAAAAGATGTATTTATTTATACAAGAACCAGGGTACAGACCAGATGCACGGGAGGGTGAGAGAATTCACCAGAGACAGAGTGGGGAACAGAACAGACAGACTGATGAAATACACTGCTGAGGGGAGCAGCGGGCGAGGCCAGAGAGGTCTGCTGCGCCATGTGGGACCCTCGCCGGGCCGGGCAGGATCGAACCGGCGCTGCTGAGGCTGCAGACAGCTTCACAGTGCTGTGCTCAACTGCCAGCATCACCAGGGGAGGCCCAATTTTCCAACTTTTTAAGGGCGCTATTATTTATAAGGAGCAAACCCAATTACATGGAATCCTTTCTTTCCTCTATTTTGGATGTGTATGAGTAGTGAGTTTCCTAATAAATAAACAATAGAGAAGAAGTCACTGTAATCTTTCTGAATCAACTCGTCTTTGTGCCCCTAATGATGATATAATTGTTCCATTTGCTTAGGCTAAAAATCAGAGCATCTGACTTTTCCATCTTTCTCAAAAGTCCATACAAGCAATCGCTGGTAAAGTACCTTCTGGGTCTGATTGTTACTTTTCTCTCCTTACCCAACTCATTTCTCTATATTCTTCATGGGACTTTATTGCAGACCCATAGCCTGGAAGTTGACTTGCTTACTACTCTGCATACACGCTAGAGATTGGCCTATGAATTCACTCTATTTGTTCTGTTTGGAATGCTCTATCCCTGTATGTATGAACGCACCACCGCTCTTACAAAACTTTGCATGAGATTTTCTGAATGTCATGAACTGGAAACAATTGCCTTTTTTTTTTTTTTTTTTACTTAGCTCTGATTCATATGCCAAAAAATTTACTACCTGAAAAATCAAAAGCGTGAACTGTAAAATTAAGTGGGATTTTTTTGTCTATTCACAGAATCATATAGTCATCACCACTTTCTATTTCCAGGACATTTTTCATCACCCCATTAGTAGTCATTCCAATCACACTCCCTTATCCTTGGAAACGCCTAATCTACTCTCAGTCTGAATGCATTTGCCTTTTCTAGGCATTTCATATAATCGTAATCATGCGTGATGTGGCTCTTGGTGAGTCACTTTTTTTACCTAGCACAACATTTTCAAGATTCACCCATGTTACAGCAAGAATATGGATTTAATTTCTTCTTATAGCTGAAAAACATTCTAATCTATGACTAGACCACCTGTAGTTTATCCCCTCATCACTTAAGGACATTTGTGTTGTTTCCAGTAGAACTGTCTTTGTTCTTTCTTTTTTTCATGTGCCTGTTTGCTATCTGTGTGTCTATGTCTTCTTTAGAGAAATGTCTATTCAGATCCTCTGCTCACTTTTTTAAAGTAGAAGGCAATGAATGGAAGGTGACCTTAGTCAAGTGGTAGACTAAGGACCACGGAAAATCTTCCCATCTATTAAAGTTAAGAGAACCCTGGCAGAACTTTTCACAATTAACATTTTCAGAACTTTGAAAATTAACTAAAGGCTTAAAGCAATCAAGGAGCATTTTTTCCAAGAAAATGTCTCAATTACATAAGAAGAGTAAACTTTGTAGCTTTTTAATTATCTGCCATAGTTCAGTTGCCCATAAATCAGAGGAAATACAACCAATGTTGTTAAACACATTAATATTTTTGAATATTTCAGATTCAGTTTATAATGCACATGAACATCTTAGAGCATAATGCGTGTATCTTTAGTGAACAAAATACTTATTTTACAATTTATAACAACACATATGAGCCACTACTAAAGAGAAGTATTTATCAAACTATGTTATTTGGAATATTACTTTCAGGACATAATGGTTTTCCCACCACACCATTGACTGAAAGGGAGGACTTGAAGGTCAAATGATGCTGGAAAGTGCTGGAAATTCACTGTTTTCTTGAGCTTTCAGTTTACATTTCTGAAATTTCTTACCAGAGAAACATTTGCTATTGCCAAATAAATTTATTTCCTCAGTTTATTTGAACATACCTTCTTCCACTTTTACTTTTCAAGTGACTATTATACTCATTTTGACAATGCAAATTTGTACCAAACTTGATTACTATACTGGGGAACATTGGAGCACAATACAGATTTTGTGTTTGTTTTTGCAGTTGTGCACAAAGAAGCAACAGGTGAACACGGAGACTTGAGCCCTGTTAAACAGAGACACAGGCAGACGCAGCATGGACGCGTCAACGCAGACCAGCTTCTTTACTCTGCGTGTAGTGAAGCCCCACCCTCTGCACCTGCTTCTGCAGCTCCAGAGATTTCAGGTACCCTCCCTCGACCACGTCCTAGCAACTCACAAACTGGAGCCCTTCTGCAAGTCACTTATTCAGGCAAACCGCAGACATTTCCAGGTAAAGTGCTATATTTGTTGTAGGTGTCGGTATTTTTAACTATTAAAACTGTGTAAAGCTGGGCCTCTCTTAGTGGCGCAGCGGTTGAGCACTGGGCTGTGAGGCTGCCCGCAGCCTCTGCAGCGCCGGTTCGTTCCCTGGCCGCCGGCTAGGGTCCCGCCAAAAAAAAAAAAAAAAAAAAAACCTGTGTAAAGCTGTTCTATTGATTCTAGCAGGTTTCTGTCTGTTTTTACAAAACCCCATCACTGAGGAATGAAGTTTATGAGTACTGTGAGTCCATCCTCAGTTTTTTTCAGAAGCCCAGTTACTCTGATTTTGCATACTTTGCATAACACATTGATTTCTAGAATACACATGTCACATATAATAAATGTAATAAGATTTGGAATTTACAGTTTGGGAAACATTCATGTGGAGCAAATAGTTCTGACAAGATGTTTGCTTGCTTAAAGGTATTTAAGGATTGCAGAGTGCACCCTGAAATGGCGCCCTTGTCTATAAAGTATATCTCTTGTATTAGTAGACTAATATTTACATGTTTTCCAGTGTGCATGATTTCTGTTTTTATATGGAATGTTCCAGTAAAATGTTTATACAATTGTTACGTAATCTTGATATATATCTAGATGTTATTGTTTTAGGGACCACACATAATGTAAATAGACATAATGAACAGACATTATCTGACGCTGTGTTAGTATTAGTAGCACTAGCGATTACATATGCAAACTATAAACTTTATTGAAATATGAAAAATAATGTGTAAAATTTTACCAACAATTAGTGTCAGGTAATATTAATAGTAGGTAATAGTGCACTAAACATGGACATTTTGTTGCTTTTTATAAAATAATTTCATTAAAATATGATTTTTATCACACATTTTAAGAGTTCTCTAAATACGAGGTGGACTACAGTACATTTTGTTGATATGTGTTTATAGTTATCTTAGTTCTCTATTGTGTAATTTAAATATATCACTAGTTTACTTCAAATCTTTTAACATTAGACAACACTGATAGTATAATAACTTTCATTAAAATACACCCTTTGCTCCAAATAAAATTAAGATATAATTCTTTATAAAATTGATACCATGAAACATGAATTCATTTCAAAATATTAGAAAACTTTTCAGAAAATAGTTATTCTTAGTGGATTGCAGCAGTAGTCTCTGCATGGTTTTGTTGTTTTTATTTTAAACTCCCTTCCAGTTTACTTACTTTTTTTCCTCTGATTCCTTCGATCAACCAATCTTTTATGAGCACCTACTATATTGCAGATGTGAAAAACAAACAAAGCGTGTGCTCTCCCATAGAAGGACTACAGTGAAGGTATCATCTGAATGGGGAAACTGATTGTAAGCTAATAATTTTTATGTATCATTACCATTGAGATGATAGCAGAAATTAATAGAAATAATCTCAGATTATTTTAGTCTTCTTGGAGGTGTTTTATTGAGATAAGAATTATAGGCAGATGGAATATTTCTGCAAAATCAGTTTGTGTGAAATTATATTGCAAAT